TATAATATAATATATATATATTATATTATATTATAATAATAATATATAATATTATTATAATTATATTATATATTATAATAATATTATAATATAATATATATATATTATATTATATTATAATAATAATATATAATATTATTATAATTATATTATATATTATAATAATATTATAATATAATATATAATATTATATTGTATATATATTGATATTGATATATGTATATATATATATATATATATCAATATCAATTTACAAAAAAGAAGATCGCAAGGATTTGAAAGAAACGTTAATTTTTCAGTGAACGCCGACCACCTCGATTATCCGGACGTCGAGGAGGAAGAAAAGGAAGAAGCGGAAGAGAAGAGGATAGGAGGAACGGCGAGGAAGACGGCTAAACGCGTTTCATCGGAGATCGGCGAAAAGAAAGAGGAAGAAGAAGAAGAAGAGCGAGATGACGAAGAAAAAGACGAACTTCGTTCGTCGAAAAACGGAACCAGCGCTTCCTCGGACCTCCTCGAGGAGAAAGACTTGGACACGCTGGTCACCCTAACGAACGCCGAGGAGGGTTCGTCGATGGAGGGGAGCCGCAAAAGTTTCTCGATCCTCGGACCGCCGGGTGCAGAAACGAACTTGTCAGCCAGCGACAGCTCGATTCTGATCGGCGAGGCGGTGGTGTCGGTGGTGACGACGAAAAGCGTGGTGAACGGAACGATATCCGTCCCGACGACATCCGCGCCGACCACGGTGGAGCAGATGGCCGCGCCGCCGTCCCCTTCAACGATTCTGACAACGAGGGCAACGACGGAACAGCCGGGAGTGACCGTCACGACGGAGGACTCGTCCAGGATCCTGGCGTCCGTGCAAACGAGTCGCAGCATTTCCGGCGCACGGTTCCTACCGTTTCCCGTGATAGATCGCGTGGAGCCCATCGTCCCCAACAGCGAGAAGAAGACCTCCCCGCCCTCGGAGTCCACGGAGAGCATCATCGACAAGTTGGACAGGGTGCAATCCGAATTATCCAGCGGTATTCTCGTCAGCGACCTCAGGGCGACCGGCAATTCCCTGCAACTGGACGTCCTCGCCGACAGAGAAAAGAACAGACGAAGGTTCACTACCACTACAAAGACACCGGTGATCAGTAAATTCGTGCCGAGACGCTATAATGACAAGAGGACCGACCATGGGAACGTCACGCCGGAACCGCGGTTCAAAACCACGCTGGACAGTCTGGAAGGTCTTCTACCGCGAGATTATGTCGTCAGGAATCCTGGCAGCACCACCGCGCCCTTGAAGATTGGATTCAGGTTGATACACGATTCGCCCACCTACGATGTTCATAAGAACACTGGTCTCAGTTTCATTGCGCCCCTGATTTGTAATTCTTTATTATTATTATAATAAAGATTATTATTATTATAATAATTTTATAATAAAGATTATTATTATTATTATAATAATAATTCTTTCAATATTATATTTAACTATATTCTAACTGTACCGGAACCGTATCTTTTATTACTGGACTGCGGATTTTATGCAATTTATAGGAAAAATGAACGGATTAAATTGATAACGGTAAAGGAAAAAGAATCTAAGTATATGGTTACGTTAATTTCGGCTCGTTAAAATGCAGTTTGTAATAATCGCAGACGGCAGCACCTTATAATTTAAGAAACTGAAGGATGCATACATTTTTCGTTATTCTATTTATTGCGATACATTACCGCAGAGTCGGGCACTCTGTATTATTTAAGATATTATAAAGATGAATTCCTTTCGTCATTCAGGTGGCCCTCGAAGAGCACAACGACGTCCGAGGCAACGATTCAACTGGCAACTACCACAACTACTACCTCCGCACCGACCACGAAAAGGCTGAAGACCAACGTGGTAGCGCAAGATATCAACGCGTTTTTGCCAGCAGGTTACAAACTGAAGAAAGAAGACTCCACCGTCACCGAGAGCACCCTTTTAACCGACATCCTTGCAAAATCGAAACTCGACATCTCGTCGTTATTACCGCCGGATTATAACAAGAAGAAGGTCGAGGCAAGCTCGACCGCGAGGAGCATAATTACCACGACGGCCACGAAGAAACCCGTGGACGTCTCGACAGAGAAATCGTCCGCGGAGAAAACTATACAAGATTTATTCGCGAAATCGCAATTCGATATTTCGTCTTTGCTGCCGCGTGATTACGAACAAAAGCATAAGAATCTCACCGCGAGCTCGAAGGACGGCGAAGAACACGCTGTACAGACTGCGGAGGCCGAGTCATCCACAATGGAATCTGCTTCCTCCACGACCGCAAAATCTGGTGGTTTGAAAATTGTGTTTCCCAGCAGACCAGGAGGCCGAAAGCCTATTCACAAAATTACTACGCCGCAAACGCCTCGTGGCGACGCGCCGGGCGCAGTTACACTGAAAATACAGAGAGGATGGCCGACTAGGTGAGCCGAATGTTAGACATTGTTCTCACAATCGGTGAAGAAAATTCTAGCGATAATAATAGATTTGCTGCACTATTGGTTTACGCAGCGATCGTAAAGAATTTCTTTTATGGGAACTTCACACGGTGTTTTTACAAAACTTTTTGGGTTTCTTAATACACAGAAGAAAAACGGTATGGTACGATTAGTTTGCATAGAAATAGTGCATTTAGTAATGTCGCGTTTTAAAAAGTACCGATAATCGTTGGTAGACAAAATTTTAATAAAACAGAAAATAGAACGGGAACAAAATTAATTACTAAAAAACTAAATCAAGTTCCGTTATAAATGCAAATTGAGTATAGAAATTCAGAGTAAAATTAAACTTTCAGAGCTACTACAGAATTTACTGGTTGGCCGACTCCATCGACAACGCCGATCTCTATAGAAAAATTGCTGGAAGCTGCCCGAACGGCGACCATATCTTCGCTGAATGCGTCGCTTATACCAATCACCGAAGTAACATCGAGTACTTCGACAACGACTACAACAACCACAACACCTAGACCCACTACTCCGGGAATCTGTGAACAAGATTGCGAAGTTGCTGGCACGATTAAGATAATTGGTAACGCAACCTGGGTACCAGAATTACTTGACCGAAACACTCAAGAATGGCAGAAACTGGCCAACGAGATCGAGCAAGAGGTAAATTTGTGACTACATTAAAACCGCAATTATTTACGCAAGATTTCAACCCTTGGATTAAGGGTAAAATGTTTAGGCTAAAAGAAAAGAGAACGGTAAAATAAGATTCGGTGTATTAAAAAGTAATATAAAGTCAAAAATGAAATTCCATAATGTACTAATAAAATTCTTTTTAGTTTTTCTTCTATCATATAATCTTTCTGCAAAAATCAAGATTGTCTGAAATTACAAGGAACAACAATTAAATAAATCAGTTTGCACACAATACAAGAATACTGCTTCTCTAATTTAAGAAAAAGAATTTCAGAAAAAGATTTTCAACGAATACGTTTGAAAACATTTCAGTTTAATTAATAAGCTATCGAATGATATATGTATGTCGGTAATTTACTATTGGTTCAAAATCATTTTGAACCTTTTATCTAACAATGCCTCTATCCCCGTATTTCGTAAAATCCTACATCATTTACTTCTTTTTTTATAGATGAACTTCATATTTTCCAAATCTTCTGTTCTGACAAAATGGTACAAAAAAGTGAAGATCGATTCATTCAGGTAAATGTTCGCACTAATTTTTACAGATGTGAAAAGTTTTCATTAAGCAATAAATTGAACAATTACACAGCAAAGGAAGTATACTGGTAGACTATTTTATCGAATTAACTAACTTGGAGCAAAAAATCAACACGCAAGAGTTGAAAACCGTATTCCACAATTCATTATATACATACAACACAAACAGATGGAATGATACGAAAATGAAGGACACGATAAAATTAGGATCATTTATTATTGATCCAAAATATACGGACTTCGTTGGTACGCTATTTTATTTATAAATTATAAATACTTATTTTAGGAAATGCTTATAATAATAATAATGAAAATCCTTCTTTTTTAGTAATACCAAAAGCTACTACTCCCCAGTACATTGAAAAAGATGACAAATTGATACCACAGTGGGCAATTGCTGTAATTGTAATTGGAGTTGGTGGACTACTCTTTATCATCATATTTGGCGTTTCTGTTGTCAGTAACATATCAATATAAGATATATTTATAATTTCACTATATAATAATATTTATTATTTACTAAGCAGAAAATAGAATATATACAATATAGAAAAAACTCTGAATAAGTGAATTCTTGCAGAGTACTTGTAATGCACCATAGTTCTAGTATTAATTATAATCACATTTCATATTGTTTATACAAATTTTCATTTTGATATTTAATTTTGTAACAACTAAAACTAGCGAAAATATCTTTTTCGAAATTGACTAAAAGATTTCTTGTGATAAAACTGTAATATCAGTATTATTGTGCACCATAAGTGCATAAAGACCAGCAGCCTAATTATAATAAATTACATTGTTGATATCTACAATTGTAATTGATTTTCAGCTTCTAAATCGCCATGGTTCAAAATTAAAGCCATCAGTGTCTGCAATTTACGATGAAGAAGTATCGAAAAATATAACTCAGAGATCCACTGATTATTCAAAACCTGTGCACACCATATGGACGGATCCTGACGTGTCATGGAATGAGAAATCTTTCGAATCAACTTCCAATAAGGTACATTCAAATTCACGTTTAAAATTATTTAATTCATAATTTCAATGAAATTTTTGCCTACAATTGTAAAATCTTTGCCATATGAAATATGTCAAACTCAAATAGAAACTTATTCCTTCAAATTGAAGTTCTATAGAAGATGATTATTTTCTTCCTAACTAGTCATATAGTTTTGAGTCCGCTTATAGTACTTTTCTGTGAAAATCGATTCTATTGATTAGAGTTCTTGAAATTATATGAATTTATTTTTTAAAAAAAATAAGAACTTTCGGATGGAACTTTTTATAGAATATATGCAATTTAACTTTTATTTGTGAAACATTTTTTGTACCATCTTTTACCGAGCTCCATATTACTAAAAATTTATATTATTTGCGAGATAAATAATAGTACATTTTACTCCATTTAAAGGTACTCGTCGAAAAATCATTTCAAGACAATAAAAAATACAACATGTACGATAGTTGGCGGTCGGAATGGAATGGCTATTATTACAATGGATCCCACGTCAGCAGCAAATATGATGGCTACGACAGCACAACAAATTTATCGAGTCGACATCATCCCGATTATGATACGAATTTCTAAATTTTATTGTAATAAAGTACATTTTCGATCCATTCTATTTCCATCCTATTTATTTATTTAGCACCTTAAGTATGTAATCAATTTTCATCGCCCGAACGTGTATAAATTTCTCAAACAGTAAAAAGCAACATATATTGTAAAACAAATGCCTTGTTTTATATTAGTTAGATATAAATTCTTGATTTGAGTTTCTTGAATTGAGAGACTACTGTAATTAGTAAGCAATTATGGACAATTTAAGGGTTTAAGGGTTGTTTAATTTAAGGGTTGTTTCATTAATTTTGATTAATATAGTGAGCCAGCTTCACACGAGTAGGATCGGCTCATTCGGTGGGCAGAGACGCTTTTAGGTTATAGCTAAGCGACAAAAGTCAACCCAATGGAAATGAGCCTTTACCGTGTATATTTGTATTATAGTTGCCATAGTTGGTCATCCTGATTATAAAAGGCTTGCCGATAATTCGTGTAAACTGTGTAAATCGTAGTAGGTCGAATTTGTGTAGATCGTGTTTGATATATATCAAATTATTATAAAATGGTATATTTAAAAATTATTGTATAAAGAAAGGTATTTTGATCTTAGAAATATTTGTTATATATACATATATATGTAATATCATTTTTCAGTTACCATTATCATTGTTAAGGACGGCACAAAATCATCCTATGGTATGTATTCTTCATATCCAAAAATGAAATATGTTTTTATTATAGATATATACATAGTTACATATAACTTAATCCGATATTTTACAGCTTGTTGAATTAAAAAATGGCGAAACATACAACGGGCATTTAGTTAGCTGTGACAGCTGGATGAACATAAATCTTAGAGAGGTTATATGCACATCTAGGGTACAGTATCTATTAGTTTCTAAATTATTAACATAGTACTAATAATTAGTTTCGAGATGTTAGAAGTATTAGTTTACTAAGCAATGGCTAAATAATTTTCTACAAAAATTGCAATTGGTTGAGATGACAAAAAATGAAAAAACTAACTTTAGCTTTAAACCTTCATATCTTTTTCATATTCGTTTGATAATGTTGAAAACAATATTGCAAGAAATTAAATTCTGTGTATTACTCCAGGTACTAAATACTTGATAATAAGTTTTACAGGAATTTATTCCAATAAATTAATTGCATAGTTTGTGACTTAGGATGGTGACAAATTCTGGAGAATGCCTGAATGTTATATTAGGGGTAGTACAATCAAGTACTTACGAATACCTGATGAGGTTATCGATATGGTAAAAGAAGATGTGCAAATGAAATCGCGTGGTCGTGGAGAAATGAAAGGAAGAGGACAAAATCAAAGAGGACGTGGAAGTGGAAGAGGTACAACAGCTATTGCACATACCTAAGTTCCTCTTGGTTTATTCTATGAATATTATTTTTTATAGGTACTTTTGGTCGTGGCGGAAGAGGCCCTGCACCTCTTGGACGTGGAGGAGGTAATCCAGGCGGAAATAAACCACAAAATAAAGCAAGGACTAAATAAAATAAAATCATGTTGTATTTTATTTTTACTTTCCCCCCAAAAAAATACAATCCATTTTAAACGTAATCGTTGGTTAAATTTAATAATAATTTATTTACAATAGATTCAATAGATACAATAGATTAAATGAGTAAATATTTTATTAATTATCGCATAGAGCTATTTAGGAGAATGGGTTCCATGAATATCGTGTGAAAAAACACAGGTGGTAACAGAATAGTTGATGAAACTTCGAAATCAATTCATAGTTCTATGATGTTTTGATCCGTTTTTTTTTTATATGATATCAATGCAACACATTCTCCCGAACAATCCTATGCCCTTAGCTTTTTTGCATGCGCTAATTTTCCATAATCAACGATTCTTGGCAATCCCATTTTGTGTTTATAGGAGAAATTTAATTCTGCTATCTATCTGGGGTATTATTTGCGTGTCTTACAAAACTTGAGGTATTACTGTCCTCCACTTCAGTTTATTGACTAGTCAAGAGAAAATACGAAAGTGAGGCAAATAGTCACATTACATTACAATCTATACATTTATCATCGTGTATTCATGTTGAATACAAATCATGTTTTGTATTCAATTACAATTTTCATTGCATTGATCTGACAAACTTTAAGAACGAGTGGCGCAAAAACGAATTTATAATGGCTGGATTATTATTCTTTTAAAGCTATAATAAATAATTAATGTTATCATTGTAAAATACTAATAAATTTTAATTCCACAAAACTGAGCAGTTTCTGTTATTACATTTTCATCCTTACGATTTAGAATAGATTCGAAATTCTTATTTTAATTAAGAAATTTGATAAAGATTGGTGGATAGATATACTATTATATCTATTATAGAGTTACAATTTTTGTTTGGAATAATGCATTCTTGCTTAGAATTTCAATATTCGGTGAAATTGTCGGAGAAGCTTACACCATCATCGACTTCAATGACATCAAAATACGTCGTAAAAAACGATATTCTAAACAACTTTGTCCTTAAAAAATGTCTATATGCGGCACAAGAGAACCGGTATTAGAATATAAAAGAAAAATTCATGCCGCAATTTATTCAGGTGATTGTGTTTTCACCGTGAAGATTTGAAAGTTTATACTTCAGTAATTGGTATCCAATTTACCGTCCTTCAACTGAAAAAAGTACATTAGTAGTATATATAACTTAAAATAATGATCTTTTTAAATGATTAAATTATTGCGTCAAAATAATCTTACTATATGAAGCTAGATCTATCTCGTCCGGCAATTCTGTAATATTTACATCGAATCTTTCTTGAACGTCATTCAGTATTTTAGCGTCACTTTCGTCACTTACTAATGTAATGGCCAATCCCTGGAATGAATAATTAATTAGTCATTGACAGCATAAAAATATACTTAAGAACGTAACCCCAGTAAATACATAAACAATATTAACCTTTGTACCAAAACGTCCAGCTCTAGCTACTCTATGAAGATATGTATCTGAATCTTCTGGCATGTCGTAATTAAATACTATGTTTACACGTTCAATATCCATACCACGTCCAAACAAATTTGTAGCTACAAGAATTCGCTGAAAATGAAAGAAGTTATTGCTTATAAATTGTTTCATTTTGATATTATTTAAACAATATTTACATTAATAGAAATTTAAGAAAAACGTTAACACATGGTACTAATATCAATTTAATGCTTACCTTCTGGAAGTCTTTAAATTGTTGGTATCTGGATAATCGTTCTTCTTGCGTCATGCCTCTGTGTATTCCAATAGCAGGAAAGTTTTGTTCTGTTAAAAGTTGTGCCAAAGCCATACACCTTTGTACAGATTTTACAAAGATAACAACCTATAGAATAATTTATGTGCAAATTGTTTACATAGATTTAACGAATGTAAAAGTTCTGAATGAACAACGAAATCTTGATTTATTCCATTTGACAAACCTGATTGAATTCAAGAACGTCTAGTAATTCAAAAAGCTTCTTATTCTTTTCATTCTCCTTAAGTTTCACGTAATGCTGTTGTAGACCGTGCAATGTAAGTTTAGCTTCATCATCCACATAGACTTCCATGGGCTACACAAAGAATGTATTTTACAAGATTACCTACTTTACCCTAACAATTGTCATACCGAGATAAATTTTAGAATCAGTAAAAGATTTTCCTCTTGTTATATTCTAATATACTCAAAAACATATCTTTAGATGTTATTAAAGTTAAAAAATATCGTATAAATTATATAATAAGTGCAATTTAGATTTAGATTGAACAGAAATTATTAAAAAGAAAAAAAAAGAACTAATACTTTGGACATACGAAACAAAACAACTACATAAACAATAACTAAAGAATGAATCAAATGATGCAAGTGCATAGAATTGATATTTGATTAATGTCCCAATTTCTCCCGCTTCCTTGATAACATTATTTTTTGTCAGTAATCATAAAAGAAAACGTATTTAGATATTTTAGAGAACTTTCCGCACGAGTTCTCATTTTTGCAATTATTTTGTCGATCGAATTATCATTACTGGTTACATACGGTCCGGCGACTTCCATCTCTGGGTAATGCCAACAATGAAAACTCAGCAGTCACCCCAACAGAAATAAGATGGCGCACCCATGACTGTTCTGTGTCGCACATCCGCTGGCCACTCGATGCCATATCTCTTCTCCCAAAATTCTGGTACATTTAAAATGTATGCCCAGAATTTGATTATTCTTGGTATGCCCGGTATATCACAAAACTTTAAGGCTTCTCGGATTCTCTAACATCGCGACTTAATTAGCTCATGATTCGTGATAACACAAACTGATTTATGCATTTGCATTTCACGTACAGATGACCACGATCAAACTATGTATTTTAACACTTCTATTGCTGTCCAATTTCACTCGTATTACTCAAATTACTGACCCTCCATGAAACTTTGTAAAATATCAAAATGATGTTGCTTTCAATTATAATAACGGGAATGCTAATTAATTTCTAGATATAGATCCCACTTAATTGCAGCAATATTTGTAAATTGCTCGATCCTAGATAACACCCCAGTTTCCCCTTAATCCTCTTGCATCTTCTTTCTTGCGCTCTTCTGTCTTCAGGTTGTCTTGAAGTCTTCTTAGCCCCCCACCCAATTGAAAAAGTGCTGCCATGCTCTAACACACTTGAAAAATCTATCCCCCCCTTGGGCCTGCCTTAACATTTGCCTGTGACTAACAAACTCGTTTTCCACCCAACCCATCCCAACATACATGATGTTCCAAACATTTTGTATGACGTTATATCGAACTTTGGCAATTTCATTGTGCAGCAGACAATTAAAAGACTTGAATATTTCGAAGATCAGAACTAAATAAAATCATTTTCAAAATATTGCCAACGTCATTTTGATTAGCTTGGGAAACAACACTAACTGAAGATTTTTTTCATTTCCTTTTTACGAGCAGATCTCGTCCAGTAAATGGAGGGAAACTTTGGAGCAGTATATCATTACTGCTTAAAGTTGTAGAGCTTGATTTTGTAAATTCCAAAGATATTGAGGGGCTTATTCGTGATTGATTTCTGTATCACTTCTTCAAAGTGTCGTCTAACTAGCCTAACCCGCGGGTGCGCCGTCAACAATATTTAGAGTATGGTCAGAGATTTGTCCTGGGTATGAATACAGGGCCAACGAAGTAGGAGCAATCGAAGATCGAAGTGAAGAGGAAGATTGGTTAATTACATCTTGCATAAATTTCTTGCAGACAGGACGTATCTCCTTGGATAACGTAGCGCTGAACATCATTACTTGCTTGCTGTGCGGTGTGCTTCTAAATATTTCCTGTACATCCCTACGCATGTCTGTAAAGAAAAATTAGAGATTCATTTTAAAAAAGCTTTCTTACAGTTACACAACATGATATCCACATGGAAGTATATCTAGTATATAATTACCTAGGAGTTCAAGCATTTTATCACACTCGTCAAGTACAAAATGTTTTAGATGCTTCAAGTTTAATTTCTTATTTCGCACAAGAGCGAGGATACGACCAGGAGTTCCAACAACAATGTGAGGACATGTGTTTTTCAAAACTTCTTCATCCTTTTGAATTGGCAAACCACCAAAAAATACGCCTACCTATAATTTCACAAAACATTTTATTACATAAATGTTTCATTATCAAATACATTGGTGTCAGTTCAATGAACAAAAAAATCTTCTTCAGTGGTGGATGGTAGTGTAATGAAGATGTCATCATTATTTGCTATGATTGTGTTTTCATCATGTGAAGATTTTTCATTATTTCAATTAAAATATTTTAAGACTTATGAGAAATTTGGCACAATAATACTTCAATAACTGTCATGTTTCAGGGGGAAAAAACAGAAAAAATTTCTTGCTATATTACTCGTTAAAAATTATATTTCTTAATACTTTTAACTCTACCTACTTTTAAGTTTTGGAAACAATTAAAAAATCTATGACTGTTATTAAAGCAATTAATAGCCGGATATATATCTGGTATAACTTACCTTTACATGAGGCATATATTTGCTAAATCTTTCATATTCTTTGCTAATTTGAAAAGCAAGTTCTCTTGTGTGGCACATTACAAGAGCGTAAACTTGGTTATCTATTAAATCCAATTGTTGCAATGTAGCCAATACAAATACTGCGGTCTTCCCCATACCAGATTTTGCTTGGCACAATATATCCATACCAATCACTGCCTGAGGAATACACTCGTGTTGCACTGCAAACAATTTTGATATACAATTAACTAATCTTTCTTTAAATAGAATACTAGATATATTTTGGTAATTAACTATCAGTTGAATTATAATTCATGTAGAATCATTCATATAGAATCAGTTGTCCCTATCAGATATCATCATTTTATTTATTAACATGTGTGAATGTAACTTGTTACATGAGTTAAGATTTTCTTTTCTAAGAAAACTAAATAGTTCTGTTCTTTAAACAATTGCATATAGAACATTTCAGTAAATATAAGTTGATAATCAATGATATAGTTAAAAGTATAATAATTGATGTTTAAGGGGGTAATGGTATATATCTATTCTAAATATAATATACAATGTTTTGTTATATACTGAAATATAGTTTACCTTCAGAAGGATGTTCAAAGCCACAATCAACAATTGCACGTAATATTTCAGGTTTAAGAAGAAAATCCCTAAATCCACTACTGTGAATAGATACATATGTGCCTTTAACTTCTTTCTTACTGGGTATATCCCCACTTCCATCAACTACTTGTTCCGTCTGTTCCTCGTCTTCATAATCCAACAGATCATCATTGTCCGCCATTTTTATATGTATGTGTAGATCAGACTGTACCTACAGATTTTTGAATATTCATATAAACTATATATATATAAATACTTATAAAATCTGATAAAATATAAAATAATAAAAATAAATAAAATATAAAAGCTGATAAAATCAGTTAATTTCTTTGAATTTATCACATTTTTCACGAAAGCGAAGCGTTATGTATGCCGAGCTAAATTAAAAATTTCTTTGAACATGAAATGTAATAAATTCGATATTTTTTTTTAGCATAAGTTATGATAAATTTGAAATTTCATTGGGCATAAAAAATAAACTACCAAAGCGTTGACTTGTAATGATAACGATTTTTGTAGGAACTATACACGTAACGTAACCGCCATTTTAGTGACGCTATGTTGTTTGCCGCAAGAAAAAGCGTATCTAATAAAATAACTGAAGTACTAACAATTTCGTCTTATTACTATAAATTAGAATCGTAAATTTCCACGTGGAAAATATACACAAACGTACAATAAAGCTTACGCTAATTATAAATCTAAAATGTGACCACGTATTGTATAACTTTGTACGTCTACTAAATAAACACTTACGCATCATTTAATTCTACCAATGTAGTACAGTCAAAAACAAAAACTATTAATTATTATCAATACTTCAGTATATTCTGCATATAATTAAATATATTTTCGAAATGGATTGATTCTCAACTCATAAATAAAAATGGATTACAAATGATCGAACTCACCTCTGGGCACAACTTTCACAAACTGACGCTGCTGCTCTGCGCTCTACACCAACGAGAACTAAGAAGTTCTGTAACGTGTAACTGTATATATTCCGGAAGACTGGTGCTGCCATCTACAAAATGGCGTGGTATATGTAAGCATATGTACATATATGTATATATTGTAATTCATATGTATATAATGAAAGAATAGAAAACGTACTTATGTAGATGTATATATTATTAAAAAATATTTTATCATTTGTACTTTCCTCAAATATTAAAATTTAGGAAATTATGTTACCGTGTAGATAATAATTATTAATAAAGAAAGAATATTGTGATTGATTATGTATTTACACTACATATATATGTTGCATACAAGTTCATGCGCTATCAGAAACTAAAATTGTAAATTTCGGATCATCTCCCATTTCCGACACCTGCATCAAATTTCGTTTTGATGAACCACAGATCCTTTTTGAATGTGTAGTACTATGCAGCTACCTATATCAAATTTCAATGGTAGATTTTTATATATTAGGTTTCGAAGTATTAATGAAAAATTGCCTGTAGCATTCTTTCAATTCTGCTCATATAGACATGACTATATAATATACATGTATTTGTACAATCTTTTTCGCTATATGTAGTAGTAGTAGTCGTTGCAACTGTCGCAACCTAAGCAAGGTAAAAGTACCAAGAAGATGTCTTCTCTATAGAGAATAGCAAGCATATTTAATGTAAAATTATGAGATACGTATTTAGGTAGCGTTAAATTGTTGAATGCGGAAGATAGTAACCAGAACAATAACAATTTCACTAAGTCGCAAATTAGTATGATTAGTAGCAATTCCGGATGTAAATCATACAATTAGTCCTCGCATTAATAAATTGGCGCTCTTTTTAAATCCAAGAAAAATGAAATCAATACCAATTGCCTGCAATTCAAATAAAGTAAAAATTAAAAATGAGGCTATATCAATTTTCCTTTATGAAAACAGTCATAAAGAAAATGAAAGAAAGAAAATCTAAAGATTTATGATATAAAATTTTAAATAATTACACTAATATTGTTGGATATATTGTTTAAATATGGTAAAGTTTATTTAATAACATCACAGATACAATAATTATGTACACAAATGTCTGACAAAGTACTAGCTCAATGGCTAGACACTTTCAGCTATCCCATTGTCAATGTAAGCACTGAAGTACTAAGTTTCAGATTAAGGTGCTCCGTAAGGGCGGACATTTGAAAGTTTCCAAATAGAAACTTCGATTTTTCGAAATTGTATATTTTTCCAGAATTAGGGCATATTCTAGACACATGCTGACGCTTGTATTACAATTTCGCTAGTTATCGATACACAATTAACAGTCATCCATATTACCTCAACCACATTACATATTGTCTTCCAATGAAGACAATTTATCAAATACGTAAAGTTTCATGTGAGTTTCGTGCCTCTGTGGTGTCGCGACAGAATCTGGTTTTACCATCTGCGAGGCACATGCAGGGTCTATATTACAGGGTAATATGGTATGACCAAGCTCTTTTAGAGGCAAAGAGTCTGTAGGTGAAGGAGGAAGCACCACTTTTTCAGGAGCATTTTGAATGAATATTTCTCTAGAAAATATTATCTATTAGTATAAGATAAAAGATATAAAAATTATAATTACAGTGTAGTATTTTACTGAATTTGTATCACGATATTAAATTACCTGTTAAATGCTCGCCATTTTCTATATAGTATAATGTATGATTTACATTGAATAAACATAAAAACTAAAACGCCTGTAGAACCAATTACAAGAACTATCAATTTAGTCCAGAAAGACCAATCTACGTAACCACGCAATGCTTCTTCCACAGATCGTTCAACAAGTACATATAAAGACCAAGCTACACAAAGTGTAGCCACTGTATGGAAAACAACTGCAAACCATAATTTACGAACTTCTAGCGCTGACATTTCTAGTTTCTCCCACTAAAAATTATTAATTAATGTTATAATATTGATTTCTCATTATAGAATAAATTAAAACATAATTGTTTATTTTTATAATGGAAAGTATAAAAAAGATTTATAAGTAAAAATCTAATACCTCACAAAATGGTTTGGTTTTAGAATGCATAATAAATGTGAATTTGCATAATTCACAAGCACGTGTGTCAGAAGCTTTTATCCATTCTTGAAGGCAAGTTTGATGTACATAGCGTAGACTACCACTGCAGTAGCAGGGTGCTAACAGAGGAGCACCTTCTTCGCCTTCGCAATGACATATTCTATCAAGCAAAGCAGAAAGTTATGTATAAAAATATTCCAAATTTCACACCAATTATAAAACAAAAGAGAAGATGCTGAAATTTTATGTACACACACAAAAATATATAATATTCATATATATGTAATATCATAATCAATACATATGAAAAACATTACTTACCTACAAATATCATGATTGCTGGAGGATAATGTACTCACAGATGAGTGACAATGGTCTGGTATAATTGTAACTACTGTTGCGTATGTTGATTCCTGTTAAATCAGCATTTCATTAAATATAATTCTTTGAAATACCTTCCATTATTAAAAAATTAAAAAAATAATAAACAGAAAATATATATTTGTTTACCTTTAGGGTCCATTCTGGTAAGTTTTCGTCAGTGGCAGGACTATTATTATTGGAAGGACCAAGTGACAGAGGTGGTTGCCAATCAGGCGGATTAACATTGATCTGATGAACCGGCATCACTCTCTGACCTCAGCAAAGAAGTGATCAATGATAAACATTAGGGAAACACATCCTGATGAGTGTTTGATTATTTGTTCTCATTGATATCATGATTAAGCACATATCGATAGTTAATTACATATAGAGATCTGTTGCCATCGATTTTAACATTCTATTTCACTGAGCATCTAATAACCTGCAATTGTAATAAATTATACAAAGAATTATGTAAAAAGTAAACTACTTTAACAACAATGGTATAAAATAATGATATTATTTCAACAACATTTTCATTTGTGTATAACAAAAAAGAAAATAGAATGCAGTAGAGAAATGATGAATAAACCAAGATAGATAACAAACATTTATTGATAAATCATGCCTGTTCACAATAATGAGATTCATAATGTAAAACAATAAACAAGTTTTCCACTGATATTAATAACGACGGATCGACACCAATATAATACAAACAAGTAAAATCGCATAGTGTTACAAAAAATAGTGTTAAATAAATCAGTTCTTCAGTCAATTTTATAAAATTCAGCAAAACATTTAAAGTTAACAAACAATTACGAATGGCGTTGAAGTCTGTAGAATTCTGCTAAAATCACTGTATGTAAACCTATCACTCGGAAAGGCTTTAATAAAAAGAAAACATAAGCTCTGGCGTCACATACATCTTTTCATTTCCATGTAAAACTGCAGTCAGGTGCAATAACAGTTTTTTGCTCAGTAACGATGATTAGCCAAGGTATATGCGATTTAGATAGTCCGATTTCGTTCCATAAAATGAATTTCCAGTGTAGATCTATCTCGATCAAGTTTCATCGAACACAAGTCAAGGCGAGCTCGAACGATTTTGACACTTCGTCTCGAGTCAATGACACAATATAGAAAACTCGAATTCACTGCAGTAAATTAATTAATCGACACCATCTGACGTTTGAATAATTTACAAATTGGTTCTGATTTATCATCGTTCACGTTTCAAACGCGCGCTATTAATCGCATTACCATTCAAAATTATTACGCGTACCGACTTCATTGCAAAGCACAGTCCTTTCTTCATAACAGACTGTGTACCTCATTTCTGTGATACGCCGCCATAACGCAAGATGTAGGCGTGGTGTGCGCACAAATCTACCCAATCAGAAGTTTCGACTTGACATTGAATTCAGAGATAAATACAATTTGAAATAGGTATGTACATACATATTTATAACAAAGATCTTTAATGTAAATACAATTGATATTAAGTTCTAGATATAACATGGTAATTGGGAAAATAAAGTACCTATAAAATGTTTTACTTGATATCTTAACTTTTTAAACGAATTTGAAATATTTACATAAATATAAACGTTGAAATTAGGTGTGAAGTAAACTATTTGCTTAATGCATAGAAAATGTATTTAATTTAATTATAATAAAATACATATTAAAAAAATAGAAAATGATCTCTCATGCACATACATTTAATATAATGATACACAGCAATATACACAGCAATACTTATTGAAACTCATTAGAACTGGTCTAGTTTCTGGTGTTATTAAAACTCTAATTGTATTCAAAATAAAATTCACATGTCAGCAAAATAATTTTGTATCTCAGGAGAAATTACATTATTTTTTGATACACTTTCATCAATT